AAAAAATTCTTAGACATGCCAAGACTGATCTGAAACACAAACTGTAAACCCCACATGGATGCACACCGTCTGGGCAGCTATATAACTGTCGGCATAAGCAATCAGCAGACTCAGAGTTCCTCGTCGTCCCAACGAACACTTTAAACACTTCGGAGTAAGAAGAAACACCTTTGGCATCATGTCCAGGATCACCGTGGTAACGATCTTGCTCGTCATTCTCGTCAACAGCTTGTGCAGCAACGCAGGTGCGCAACGATTATTCTTTTTTCACTTGTTCTGCAGAGATGTAGATGTCACAGTTTTACTCTGCAACATGGCTGTAAACAGGTGACTCTGTTAAACTGTAGACTGTGACACTGGTGTTATACAGAGCTGATGGGTAAGGTATCGCTGCTCCACATGACTGATGTCTTATTTGTTATCTTTTTCCACTGCAGCTCCTTCCCATGGAGTATCCCTGTATATTCGCAAGTGCAGATGCACAGGTGAGTGACCAGTGACCACTTTCATCTTCTTTGAGTAAAAAAATGCAAAACAAACAAAAACAAATTTAAAGACACAAAACAAATATCTTAGTTCTTTGTGTTGCTGTGGGCGTATGTGATGGTGTTTCCAATTGAACATTTAGGGAATTTTCTCCTAAGTTCTCTGCTATTAAAAACATGACTTTTTTATGTGGCGACAGTTACAGTGACCAGCTGTCTTCTCTTGCAGAGATTTCCACAGGCAGGTTTAAGTGTCCCAAACCGCTCGTGCCCACAAACTACAACAAGCAGCGAGATATGTTTAAATGCGCCTGCAAAAAAATACAAGAAGAGAGTAAGTGAAACACAAACCCGTCAAGAGAGATGTTTCTCTTTCCTGTGATAATATTCAGTAAATATACTGAAGTTGTCATCATTTCTTTTCTTTTTTTGTCTTGTAGAGCGTTCAGATCTTCTGCGGTTCTGCCGTGTGATCAAGAAATACAACCCTGCTGATCTGCTCTGAGATAAAGAAGTCCAGACACTGACTAACCAAACTTAATATCCTATTACGTATGACATTAATCTTGTTATGTAGATGGTTGTGATTTTTTCTGAAATTGTAAATAAAGACAGTTATTTTTTTATTACATAGAGTCTCGTCTCCTTTTGTGTTTCCACATATTTAACTGAAAAAGTCCTCAACCTTGAAAACAAATAAAATGAACATTTTTAATATCCTATTATTCATTTTTTGTCCTTTTTTTAGTATTTTGAAATTTTAAAAACATGAAAGAGAAACAATTATTGTTATATATGATCTGGTCTCACTCTGAAATGTGTTCGTAGATTTCACAGAGACAATGACATAAATACGCTGATTAATAGTGAATCATTTCTATGGAGGATTACTTGTTTCCCAGCTGCCTGGCCTCCAATCTTCATGTTGAACTATAGTAAAAGAAGTTCAGCACAAAAGTGAGAGTGGTTTCTATGTCATCCAGAGTTAAACAAGACATTAAATGGACATTTTTCCCTAAATATCATCAAAGTGTGTGTTGCTTTAATGGCAGGAATGCTTGTGAAATAAATGACTCATTTCTTCAATGCTGTTACAAAACCCTCACCACACAGGCAGGAATGTCCACTGATATATAAACTGATGATAACGTTCATCTTCTTTTTTTTTTTAAAGGTTTATTTTTTTATGCCTTCAACTGAAAACAACAATAAAACAACAAAATCAAGACACAGAATCACTTTTCACATGTTAGCCTCACACGTCCTGTTCTTGTCTTATTGTCAGTTACTGTTAATAATCAGGTCCTACATTTCTGAGCAGACATAATATATTTTCAGGCTGCAGTATTTTTAATGCTACTCGAGCTGATTTCTGTTAGCTGTGGCCCCTGAAGAAGTAGACAAAACCTTTGTTTGATGGAGGCATCGATTCACAACTTTATCTGCCAAGACAAAGAGAAATTCAGATATCAGCACACCAGCGCTGCATATGTGGACAATAGGACCTGCCTTTGCAAATCATTTTGTGTAACTTTCAAACTTTAATAGTCATTATTTCCTTGAGTTGAAAGCACTAATGAAAACAAATGACATTAGCCCATTGTGTCAACACAGGCACACTCTCTGTCACTGAATAGTGAAGTAAAACCTGTGGGTTATAAGTCCTTTTAGAGTTTTATCTGTGAACTCCAAATCCTGCAGGTCAGCAGTGATAGCAGTCATGGGAACACAGAGGCTTGTTTTTCCAAACAATACGATCTATCTGATTTCAGATTTGTAGCAGAACTCTGCAGGCAAAGCACCATTTTGTCTCTAATGTTCATCAAAGGCTTGTAGAAGCAAGTCCACTTGGCGGTAGCCATCTTGGCAACAATTTCATGTAGTTTTTTCCAGCTAAACAAAAAAGAAGGGGTCATATCCAGAGCATTAAAACATTAAAACTCCATGTATGGAGTGTCCAATCACATCTAACAAATAAATTAACCAATAAACAGTCCAGTGCAACAACATGTCTGGCTCATTATCATCTCATTATCATTTAGAATGTACTACCAAATGATTCTTTGGGTCTAGTGGGTCTTACACTAAACTCTCCTACACACATCTGTTCAGGATCCATTGAGTCTCTCTCTGATGAAGCCTGGTTTTAAATTTACACCTCAGTGATGCCACCGTGCAAAAATTGTTGCCAGCACTCAGTTTTCCAACGATTTGGATAAGTTCTAAGATTTTACAGATGAATCCATGCAGAGCTGAGATAGCATCTGAACAAACAAACAAGAAAACATCCCCTTTAAACATGTCAGGACTGATCTGTAAGTTCAAGCTCCTCACACCGTGTCAGCGTGGACTCACTGCGGGGGTATAAAACTCAGATCCTCTTCTTCTGCAGAAGAATCTGAACACGTCAGACGGAACAGACGAACCTTCGCCACCATGTCCAGGATCACAGGGATGACGCTGCTGCTCATCATTCTGGTCAGCAGCCTGTGTGATAGCACAGGTACATACGAGGATCATTAGTTTTGAACTTTATATGCATGGATGGTTATGTTGCTGTTTTACTCACCAACGGGACGATAACTAACTGACTCATTTTAAATGTAAACTATTGTGCACCACTGCCCGTGAGTTTGAGAGGAAATGTTACACGGGGTTGATGGATAATGTTTTACGTTCGTATAAATGATTTCTCACTTGTTTGCTTTTCTTTTTCACTGAGGGCAGAGTCTGCTGCTCAGATTCTCAGATGCAGATGCACAAGTAAGTTACCAGCAGTTTTGGCCTGTATGGCCTGTATTTGTATAGCGCTTTTACAAAACCCATTACAGTTTTGTTTGGTAATGTCATTGTTGCAGTTGTAACTGCAACAAAACACACAAACACCAACATTACAGTCCTTAGGGCTGCTATGATGCTACATTGAAGTGTGTCCTATCTTGAAAAGATCGACTGCAAATCTGTGCCGTTGTAAACGTTACCATGATGCCACATAAAGTTGGTTAATTGGCAATGACTGAAGTGAAATGGTTTCAGTGACCACCTCTATTCTCTCTTGCAGAGTCTTTCAGGGGCAAACTTAGGTGTCCCCAACCACTCCTACCCACAGACAGCAAAGAGAAACAGGCTCTGAACAAATGCCTCTGCAGCTCAGGAAAACAAGGCAGTAAGTGAAATGCAGTCATGTTTGTTTGAGGTTCATGTTTCCTGTAATAATGTTCAGTAAAGATATTTAAGTTGGTGTTGTTTAATTTTTGTCTTTTGTAGAGCGTCCAGACCTTCTGCGATTCTGCCACAGAAGTGTGTTTGGGGGAGCTGCCACACCGCTCTGACATAAATCAGTGGAATTATAAACGAACTTGATATAAAATCACATTTACTATGATATTAATCTTTTTATATGTTTGTGAATTTTCTACTGCTGTAAATAAAAAACAGATCTTCATCAGGGTTTTGTGTTCATATTGTTGTATGTATTATTATATTATTTTTTTGGTTCCATCGTATATTTACAAAAAATGAGATCAGTTTCAGTTCTTCCATTCAAAATTACATTAAAGTTAAAGGAAAAGGGAAGGATTTTCCCTGATGTCATTAGCACGCATAGCTTTGAAGCCATGTGATGGTTATGAAACTGTGGTTATGTCTCACCGCGGATGAAACAATCGCCACTGTTACATAGAATTATGCCTTTTTGTCTCCACACTGCATTCTTTTTCATTTTTCTAATTATTCAGTTCAGTTATTTTATTTCTATAGCGCCACAAAGTTGTCTCAAGGAGCTTTATACTTTTTTATAACAGGATATAGAATTATTCCAGCCTGTCCCCCTTTTCAGTTCTCATCTTGTTTCTTCTTGTCAGTTCATACTGTTAATAGTCAGGTTGTATATTTTTAAAGAGACGACTATGCAAAAGGTTTGAGGCTCCTCTCATTTCTTTACATTTTTCAAGGAAAAGAGGAAATAGTCATAGTCAGTTGAAATATGTTCAAACATAGGTGGGAACACAATATATACTTGTGTACAATATACAAAACTAAATGAGTCAAAACCAGATGACAATTCTAATGAGCTTGAAAGTCAGAATTTGGTATGGCCGGTTTTATCCTTCAACACAGACTGAACTTTGTTGGGCAGCTTTCTTGTAATTTCTTTAAGTAGTCTTCAGGAATAGTTCTCAGGCTTCTTGAAGGACATCCAAAGCTCTTCTTTGGATGTTTGCTGCCTTTTGTTCCATTCTCTGTCAAGATGATCCCACATTGTTTCAGTAATGTTGAGGTCCAAGCTCTGGAGAGGCCAATTCATGACTGATAGTCTTCCATTGTGTGTTTCTTTCTGTCCAGGTAGGCTTTGACTGGATTAGATCATAATCATGTTGCAAATTATCAATCAGTTTCTTTCCAGATGGCCCCAAAAGGTTGATTCTGTTCATCTGGATGTAGCATCAAATGAATTGTTTATGAGGTTGGGGAAACCTGCAGTCAGCTGAGACTGAAGAAGTCAATTGGATCATTTAAGAAACGTTTCTCCCACTGAAAACGCTACGTCCAGATGAACAGAATCAACCTTTTGGGATTTACTTACTTAGATGATTGAGCATGCATCAAGACTGTCTAGATGCTCTTGCATGTTAGATTAAAGACTGACAGTAAATTTCAATGTTTATAATTCTGTCAATTTTGAATAGCACCAACACCACTGTCTAAAATGCAGCTCCAAACCATGACAACCATGTTTTACAGATGGCTGTAAAACCCTGTTGTGCCTCTCCTCCCCTTTTCTGTTCATGCTAAAAATTTTGTTGCGTTTGTTCAACTGCATTGGACAGTTTTTGCTGTGACATTTAGATGGTAGAGTCAGAATTTGATATAAACACCATGAAATTGGGGATTTTACTGGAATTTTGCTTTCTAAGTTTAAACTAAGAAAATAGGTGTTTCCCAAAATGACAAAGTCTAGCTTTGCTTTATTTCACAACTATTGCGTTTTGGTTGTGAAATGAGAACATTACTCTGTGGGCCTGTGAAATATTAAGTACAGTATTACAACAGAGTTATTTTTAGTGCTTTCTATCTTCTATGAAAATATTAATGTCTTTCTCACCATCCCCCTCTCTTCTTTTCTAGCTATTTCTTGTCAGTTGTGCTGTCAATAATCTCCATTTTCTTATATTTTTCATACCCACCTATTTACTGCCTACGAGGAATGTCACCTCTTTTAATCTCTTTTATGATCATTCGTCTCAGCTTTAGCCCTGACGCAAGAGAAGAACAGGTTCTGTGTGATAAGGGTAAGTGTTAGTGAATGGGCCTTTCCTGTTATCTGTTTTGCACACTTCAACAAGAAATGAGAAATCAGATATCATAGTGGAGACATTGTTTGTGGTGAAATGGTTTACCAAGAAGAATCACTGGAAACCCTGTTCGGATGGTGAAATTCCAAACTACTAATTTTCTAAATTAGAGGTGTTGAGTTATGCAATCGTTTTATTTTACACAGCTTCCTACAAATTTTCATGTCTAAACTACTTTTTACACTTTAACCAACCTCTCACTGGACTCAGCACACTGCAGGTCAGCAAGGCAAACTGTTATGAGAACAAAAAGGCCTGTTTGTCTCGTTTCACCCATATTTACACCAAAACATTACAGTCAGGTGGTGACTTATGAGCAGCATTCAGATATGTAAGTAAAATAGGGAAGAGTAAAAGAAAGAAAAAGTGAAAAAGAGTAGAGCAGAAAACTTGGCTTACAACGGTTTGGATAAGGTGAGTCATCTATTCTATCATGTCTGGTTGAACATTTCCACACTCTCTGCAACAGCGATGTGAATTATTCCTCAGACGGAAGGCTGCCTGTAACCCGGTCTGCTCCTGTAACAGAGTTCTAGTGGAATATTTTATCTCCTCGGGGACTGAAATGTGGCTGAAGAGATAAAGCTAAATAACAGCTTATGTTAGAAGACAGCAGTGTTTAATACTTTAATGAGTGAGCGACAGCTTGCTCCTGAGGTCACAAACAAAAAGTTTGCTAGTTTGTACATCTGTACCTGGTTTTTGTTTGTTTGGGGTTTTTTTTGCTGCTGTGTAGAGAAGTTAATCTGCGTGGTTTATGCTGGGGCAGAAATAAACAAAGTAAAAAATAACTCATTGCTACAATAACTGCAAAAATGTTCACAGGTGTTTATTTTCCTAATTCCTAAGCTATTGATAATATAATTTCATTTTTGAATGAGGGAATGTCTCATTTCTGTGGTGACCTCCCGACTCAGGGGTTTTATACTTTGTGGATCAGGCAGGGGTCGGGGTGGAAATCCTGGTGACCCTGAGCCTGGTTTCTGGTTAAATCTGGCTTTAGGAGTATGAAATATGACTTCTGGTAGAAGAGGTGGTGAGCAGGAGTGGGTAGACTTGTATTTGTCCAGTTTGGTACCTGCAGATTGGGTTTTTCCCCCCCACTGGATTAGAGAATTGCTTCTGTGTGCCTTGGACCTGGATCCTGGAACAGGTCCTGACTGTCATTTGTGCTCATGTGCCATATCATGTTTGTACTCAACCTTCTTGGAGTCCCTGGGCAATATGTTTGAAGGTACGCATGATGGGGACACTATTGTTCAGCTGGACTGCTTCAGTGCTCACATGGACAATGACGGTGTGATTAGGAGGGAAGACCTGAGTGATCTGAATTCACGTGGTGTTTTCTTGTTGCACTTCTGTGCTAACCACAGTGTGTCAATTACAAACACTGTATTTGAGCATAAGACTGTCCATATGTGCACTTGGCACCAGGATGCCCTAAGACACAGTTTGAGGATTGATTTTGTAATCTTATCATTAAACCTGTGACCACATGTCTTAGACATTTTGGTAAAGAGAGAAACAGAGGCATCAGCTGATTGCCACCTGGTGTTGAGTTGGATCAGGCGGCAGTGTGAGATGCTGGAGAAACCTGGTTTACTTTATGTACAGTAAAGGCTCTTAAGGAGTGTCTGGGAAAAACCTGCTCCACAGGATCTTCAAATCCCAGCTTTGGTAAAGCTTTGAGAGCATTCCAAGGGTCCACAATGAGTCCCTCATATCGTGCACCTCTGTTGCCAAAGCTGATTTATGGAGCTGTGGCTCCAAGGTAGTTGATGCCTGAGTGGCAGTAAAACCCCAAACCAGATAGACCACAGAGGTGAAGGTAGCAGCTAAGATGAAGAAGGAGTCCTGTGAAGCGTGGGACTCTGGAGGCAGTTGACAATATAACCCTGGCAGTAGCTAAAGCAAAGACTTGGTCAACTTCAAGGTATTTCTAGCTAATCATCAGATGAAAGAGGAAGGGGTAGTGACTTCCTCCTCACACTGCATAGAGTGGGCAAGGACAGCTAACCTCAAATTAGAGAGTATAATTTGGTGGTAGAAAGAATGATCTCTTCAATCCCACTTACACACCTTCTGCAGTGGTCCGGGACAAAGGGGGATGAATTGAACCTCATGTTCAGAAGGAGCAATGCAGTCCAATCACCCTTTGTAGCTTGGTCATATGGGAGGGGCTTAGAGTAGAGCCAGTACTCCTTCACACTGAAAGGAGCCAATTGAGGTAATTAGTGCATCTGATCAGGGTGACTCCTTGATGCCTCCTAGGTGAGGTGTTTCCTACCATGTGCTACCAGGAGAAGGATAGAGGGCAGATTCAGGATAGTATCTCTCCACGACGCTGGCAAGATTAAATCTCTTGGTTGGCATGGGAATGCTTCTTCAGTGTCCCCACAGATGATCTTGGGAGAGGAAATATCAGGGTATCTCTGCTCTGACCCAAACTTGAATAAGCAACAGAAAATGGATAGATGGACTAAACTTCATCATGTAATGAGCATCGTCAAGGAATTTATTTGCAATTATAATATAGTTCTCTTCTTATCTTTTATCTTCTAATGTTAATCCACTTTTCTTTTGAATAGTTCAATAATGTTGCGACAGGTGGTACAGGTTCAGCCACAGAGCACGGTTCAAGAGGAAGGGCAATGGAGCACTGGTCTGTGTGAGTGCTACAAAGACATGGGCGACTGTAAGTATATTAAATTATTACATTGTCTTTGCTGATCCCCAGTGATTGACTGATAGTTGGATTGAACTCTTATTACCTGTCAGTGATTTAATATAGTGGATTTATGTAATCTATGCAGGCTGTTTTGCCCTGTGCTGCCTCCCAGTCTTTACCTGTAAAGTGACCAGTGCAGTGGGAGCTTGCCCCTGCCTACCTCTGCTGGACTGTATAGGCTGTGTACCACCAGCCTCTCTTGCCATGAGGGCGTCTGTCAGGCAGCGATATGGCATAAAGGTACTAGAAAACAGCATAACTGTTGCCTTTTTTTAAAAGAAAAAAACAAAAACAAACCAATAAAATAGTTTCCTGATGAAATTCTAAGATGTACCACACTCAAATCACATGAGATTCACATGAGATTTTAAAATAAAACCTGTGAGGTCTAAGCATCTCTAATCCCACTACCCACATAGCAAGCAGGTCTGACCCAGATCTGGCATCAAGCTGGCACTTCTGACTGATCAGTGTTATGGCAGGGTGTTATGTCAACCAGATGTGGGGTAGGTCTGGCAATGATGGCACTATTTATGTTCCTATTTTCCTATTTTAGTTAGAAGACCCAAATGCCATGTTGCAATACTATACTGCTATGGTAGCCAACGTTTCAAATGCAGGTTGGACAGGTTTGTGAGTGTACACTTTATCAAAAACCTAGTGACGGTTTACTCATCTTTGCTAGTTGGTGGCTGTAGCTCAGGTGGTAGAGCAGGTTGCCTACTGATTGGAAGGTTAATGGTTCGATCCCTGGCTCCTCCAGTCTGCATGTCAAGAGTGTGAATGTGTATGAATCTAGTTAGAAAGCACTCAGTTTAGAGAAAGTGGGTGAATGTTGTATTGAGCACTTTAAGTAATCCAGGAGAGTAGAAAAGCTCTGCGTAAGAGTCAGTCCACTTACTGTCTGAATAGAGTTTCCTTGTGTTGCTTTTGCACTATTATGTTCTGGCACATGTTGTTATTAGATGGCTTGATTAGGGTAAACATTAGGCTGACATCTGAGGCCAGAGCTGAAACTGTTCTGGGCCAGCACAAGGCTAGCAGTATGTCTGCAACTGGCCCGTGGCTGCACACAACTTACACATGGCCCAGATACCGCAATGAATGATGGCCCTTTGGTGGCCCAGATCAGGTTTGCCAGAGGTAATCCACACATGGGCCAGCACAGGACCACCAGTGTGTCTGCAACTGGCCTTGTGCTGGCCCACGTGTGGGCCACCTCTGGTAAACCAGGTCTGGGCCGCCAAAGGGCCATCATTCTTTGCGGTATGTGGGCCATGTGTAAGCACATTGTGTGGGCCAGATCCGGCCCATACGAATTTTGCTATGTTGGTAGGGGCAGCTAGCTTCTCTGAGCCTCACCAAAACATTAATAATAGAATTAATAATAAAATTAAACATTAATGACAAAAAAAATCTCAGTATATGTATATTTGAAATAAGTAAACCTCCAGTAACACTCACATAACACTTACATAATACAACCTAAAGAAATATGCACAAATAGATATTTTAGTTCATGTCTTCCAGTCAGTCTCAAATTTGGAACTTTATAGCCTAAGGCGCTAGAGAAATTGTGCCTTAGACTGTAAAGTTCCAAGGTGGGTCTTTGTAGCAGTTTTGTAATTATTTGATTCAAGTTCTTATTTCTTCCAGTGTTTGGGCTTAAATCCTATCCAAATCTATTTTTAATGGACAATGGAGTGGTGGCAAATGTTTTTTCTTTCTTTTTTTGAGGTAGAAATGACCGTCTTTGACTGACAAGATGAAGTGCTAAGCTAAAGTTATAACTCAGTGCTAGCAAGCTTTGGTTTCAAAGAGACAGTAACTATTTACTGCTAAGATACAGATAAAATACTAGATACTCACATTTTAGTGAGTCCAGAGCTCCAGAGGTTGCTGCTTAGTAAACACAAATGGTTAGTTAATGAAAAGTAACATTTTGCTAATGCTAATAAGGCTAACAATCACATAGAAAGGCTACATGTCTCCTTGTCCTGGACACTACAAGTTTTTTAAATTCCCCTAAAAAGACTAACACCATGTCTTCCAAAATATATTTTCCCATGTGCTTCACTGGTGATAATATTCGAAACTACTATCTGAAGCTGGGGAGCTGCTTTACACGAGTTTTAGCGAGGTTTGTGATTAAATGCTAGCTAGCTTATCATTTTTTCTTACCACCAGTTCAAGCCAAAAAAACCACAATTTTATTTTTAGTTTTTGATACTCACAGTATTATTCGATGCGTGCTGTCAGCAAAAAATGTCTCAAAGCTAAGGGATCACTGCTATACACAAGCATCTGTTATTAACTTCATTAAGACTGTATTAATAAAAGTGGAAAGGAAGGCTCTTGGCTCTTTCAAAGGAAGAGTACCCAGCCACTGGTACAGATATGTAGACGACACCTGGGTCAAAATCAAGACACAAGAAGTGGAATCCTTCACTGCGCACATTAACGCTGTGGATAAAAACATCAAGTTCACCAGGGAAGACACAAAGGACAACTGTTTGCCTTTCCTGGACTGCGCTGTGCACATTGAAGAGAACGGCAACCTCAACATCGAAGTTTACCGGAAGCCCACACACACGGACCAGTACCTCCTTTTGACTCCCATCACCCTCTGGAACACAAACTTGGAGTAATTAGGACCCTACACCACCGGGCAGAACATGTTCCCTCTAAGCCTGAAGGAAAAAAGAAGGAACACACACATGTAAAGGAAGCACTCAAAACGTGCGGCTATCCTAAATGGGCGTTCTTAAAGTCAGCAAAGAGGCACAGAAAAGAAGATCAGACACCAGCGAGGGAGGATAAGAAGACAGACGCAACAACATTGTCATCCCCTATGTAGCCGGTGTATCAGAAAAACTCAGGAGAGTTTTCTCCAAGCACGACATCCCGGTGTATTTCAGACCCAGCAACACGCTCAGACAAAAACTGGTTCACCCGAAAGACAAAACCCAAAACACAGACTTAACAATGTGGTGTATGCTGTACAGTGCAGCGAGGAATGCCCAGACCTCTACATTGGAGAGACCAAACAGCCACTTCACAAGCGCATGGCACAACACAGAAGAGCCACCTCCACAGGACAAGACTCAGCAGTCCATCTGCATCTTAAGGATAAAGGACACTCTTTCGAGGATGCCAATGTTCACATTTTGGACAGAGAGGACAGATGGTTTGAAAGAGGAGTGAAAGAAGCCATCTATGTCCACTGTGAGCGACCATCTTTGAACAGAGGCGGTGGTTTACGACACCAACTCTCTGCCATCTATAATCCAGTTTTGAGATCCCTTCCCAGACGCCTTAACGCCCACTCACATCCTGGGCCATCTGACCTCAGGAATTCGCATGATAAGGTGGGGCCAGGTTTCACAATGAACTCACCCGAAACTCTGGCTGATTGGGACCCACACCCAGTTTCACACCTTGGCTCAGGCGATTAGAGGATCATCAGGGGGTCCTTTTGTCCCTCTGTGGGGGTTACTCCCACTAGGTTTATATCTGGGACTCCCCACCATTTGACCTTAGAACTGAAGAAGCTTCTCGGATGAGAGGTGAAACGTCTTCAAGCAACTTAAAGAAGTCCAGACGCTTTTCTTTGCAAGCTCCTTTGACTACGATGACCTGGATGACTGAGAACCTTCACAGATGTATTAATAAAACTTAGCTGTTCTGCAAAACATATGTGGGTCTGTCTTGTTGTATAAGCAGGTTTCAATGTTTCCCTCACTTCTTCTTTTGGCCGTATTCAACAGGATGTAGGCATATTCTGTTTAAATTCAGTGTTGGACACTGATGTGATTAAAGCTTTTGTCACAGTTTTCTCAGTGAATAAATGATAGAGCCGTTTACCACAGGGCTCTTCCATGTTCAGTCTGGAAGACAAGTTAAACTTTACTCTAACTGTTAGCGATTATAAAGTCTTTCATTCAAATGAAAGAATCTATCCCTGCAGCTGTAGTTGATGTCATGATAAACAGAATGTGACTGATTGCTTCCCAATGCAGCGCATTGTGTCCCCAGCTCAATTACACAGAGCTGCTGGGCCTTTGCATAATTCTGACTGTAGCTGAGGAGATTGAGGTATATAAGTGATGAATCACAATAACAGCACACAGGAGAAATAGATCCAACGTCACTACGTGCTATCGTAATGACACCAGTTATTACTTGAGCAACGCAAACAACATTGTTAATCTGTGCGGTAACATTAGATATTTGTTAATTATTAAATAAATAAGCGTGCATAACTGCTATGAACAAACAAATGAATAAACAACTAAGTACTGAATTGCTCCGGCACCCACCTACTGCCTCACTGCTGTGTTTGTCCACTCTGAGCACTCATCCACCTGGATGTGTGAACACAGACTCCTGATAGACATCAGGTCGCCGTCACTGATCAGTGCTCAGCTAATATGAAACAGCTGTTTCCCATGCAAACAACAAATGTTCAGTTTGATGTGGGATAAGGCCAGCCTGTCCTTTCTGGGACAGTGAAGAAAAGGAGAGATATGGTGGGAGTGGTTGAAGGCCAGCAAGGCAGATGCTGGAGCGCTGCCATCGGAGAGAAGGAGGTGGTTGGTAATGTTGGCTTTAATGGAGGTGGAGTGGGCTGTCAGTGGCTGTCAATACCGCAGAGCATGAGCTAGAAGGGTGCCAAAAATTCTTATGAAAACAAGTCCCAGCATGTAGGCTGTTTGTGAAACAAGGCAACTATTCTCTCATAAGAGAAAAGAGATAAGGCCTTAACGGTACATACCATGAAAATAAAACTTCCTTACATACGCTGACGTTCAGAGCCATCTTTCTGTAAAAATTAAATATATTTATCCCGCTATGTTTCTTCAGTTACCCCCAGTTTCACTGTTCATAGACATTCATGGTTCCCAGAGAATCACTGGAGTAGACACTGGTGATTACCAAGGCCAGCAGGATTTCGTGTAGTGCTACTATGAGATTCGCATTTTAGATGAACTGTCTAATAAATGGACTCGCATGGAATTTGGTACAATTTGTTCTCATTATTTTTTGGGCTTGAAAGTGAAATATCTTAATTTTTATCTGATGTATTGCCAGGGACTTGTCAAAATACCCGCAAAAGTCTTTCAACTGCGGAAACACATCAAACGTGGCCGAGCTGTTGAATTCTCCAGTTTTTCTTTCACTTGTCTTTTATCATTAGCATGACACTGACGTAGTTTATAGCGAAAAATCTGTCTGATGTGTACCCTGAAAGTGTTTGTCATTTGTGTTTATCAGATGTCGGTAACGGTTTATGGCTGGCATGAGCATGAGCTTAGTGTTAAAAAGGTTTAGTCTGCTTTGCTGGCTAGAAACAAAGAGTTGAAGGGAAGACAAATGCTCTTTTGGAGTTTTTCTTTAGGAGTACAGTGTACTTTCCTCCTTTTGTCAGTTCTGTACAAAAGGTTTGCGTTGGACTTCAAGAATTCTGGCCCTAATCTATGAGCACATGCAACTAATAGATCACTTGATGATCTACAAAGCAAAAACTTGTTTAGCTGTATCCATAAACCACAGAGGTGCAGTGCACAGACTAATGTATCTGTTAATCAAAACAGAAGATCAGGACTTCATTTGCCAAAACTTCCCAGACCCACACAAAACTTCCAATTAGGCCTAATACAGTCTGTCTGTTGGTAAAGGTCATATTACATCATAATCAAGCCAAAATGAAGTTAGAAGTTTAACTTACACAAGGCTAGACCTGCTGTTCTAGAGTGAGGAGTGATAGTAGGGAAAGAAAACCGACAGAAACTGGCCTCAAAGTTGCTGTGCTGACTCAGTATCATGAAGGGAAAAATCACATGCCGTAGCTGTGCATGGAATGAACATCGGCTGTTTTGCTGTTTCTCAGACTTTATTGATTTATCAAATCTCACCCACCAGCATTTTCATCCTGACATTACTGACAAGTCCTTTCTCTGTTGCTATGAGCAAAGACTTGGCTGCAAGAAAGCCGATGTCCTCAGAGAAAGGATTCTCACTGAAACACAAGAACACTTAGTACTCATGCACTGACAAAGATACTGCCTGCTTTTATCCACACTACATGCATTTTTGAAATCTGGCCTTCTTTGTCAAAAAGAAATGTTGCAAAACTATAATGTAAATATTTGACTCTATTTGTAGTCTAACTTTAAGTAATCGTGCTGGTTTACTGCAGTACCAATCTGCTGCATGGCGTTTCTTTCACACCTAAATGCAAATGTTCACCTTTTGTTTGAGCCTCCCACTCATGCAGGCTTCTCTTCGTGTGTCTCACAGGGGAGTGTGTGGAGCGACTGTCTGTATGGTTGCTGCTGCTATCCGCTATCTTGGCTCCAGATCTCCAGAGAGCTGAAAAGAAGAGCAGCATCCCACGCCTCTTCTTCTTCAGCCAGATACACCCATCTAACATCCCTGCAGGGGGCGCACTTGGTCTAGACACACCTAAAACTGACTTTCTCCCCACAGTGTGTCCTCCAGAGTACAGGAGTTGATTTAATCACATTTCCTCTGCTCCGGAGCCACTCCCGGTTACCTCAGAGAATTCAGCAGGGACACAATGCGTCCTGCGGAGAGGAAAGTTCAGTTTGTCCCAAGATGAAGTGAAAGAGCTGTGATAAAAAGGCATTTCAATATCAGAGCCGGGGGCTTTGTGTTCCTTTGAGTAACTACTTTGATTGTGAGATTATATTCTTTGACTGGTGGAAACTAATAGAGCTCAACTCTACAAACAATTTCTTTTCAGTAACCTTGGAAGATATAGTTTCCCTTATGATGATAAGTGTATGTAAGAAAGTGTTCTTCTCTTTCCTAATGATAAGGTAGATTTGGGGGTTTCAGGGACTTCAGGGTTCAGCTGGCAGTACTTCTGTGCACATAGCGAGTACTATTTATGCACATTGCTGTATTAATGTAGCATTTTTAGTGAAGTGAAACTTGTTATTGTTCTATACATGCAAGACACTACAACATACTGATGGTGTAAGCATTATAAATACATATATGGATATGTAAACACTGGACATTGTTATCATAACGTCACCATTTGGTTTCATTCGAGGTGAGAAGTTCACAATGTGCATCTTTGTTTCTTTAAGCCTTTTTAAGTGACAGACACTTGTGAATCACAAGGTAGCCACACGCTAATGCTTCACTTTATTATTTATTCTACTCTAAATCGGGCCATAATTTACAAAATGAACACCATGCTGCAATGTTATGTCGCAATGTTATGTACAATGACATGAATTTTATCGCTTGAGAAAATGTCTTTATAAACTGTTATTATGGGTTTCATGCAAAGAGAAGAGAGCTTTTATCTACAGTCCTAATTTAATGCTATTTTTGACACCATCTTCATATTAAGTGCTCACCTTCTAGAAGAATGAAGGAAACACAAACTACACAAAACATTATTTATGAGCAAAAATGCATCTGTTTTTGGTTAATAATGATTATATGGCAATGCTGTTTATACTGAATGCATATATCAAATTAAGATTTTGAGATGAAACCAGTCATCCATATTTGTGTCTTCTTATCCAGTTCAGTTCGGTTTAGTGAGTGGGCTGTTGGGGAAGAATTGAAGAATGTCAAATATTTACATTTTGCTTCTGTAAACTCTTTGATTATTCACTGTAAATATTCTGTTTCACCGCTAATATTCCATTTCCTGTGCATATCTATTTAGCTGATCTCTGTGTCGCTGCTAAATATTTAGTGTTGGATTGTTTCAGTGACTCGTAATAAATGCTAAATGTTGTAAAGCTGGTTTTAAAACAATAGTGTGATGTGAATCCAAGGAAATGCCCAAGTCAACAACTTGTCAGTGAATTTGATGAAGAACACTTGCAGTATTCAAAATATGGGCACGGAGCCACATGCCACTGCTCCGCAGTACTCCTTTGTTCTACTCTATATCCCTTTAAAGGTTTAAACACGTAATTTTTATCAGCATTTTACGCGTAAGCATCAACTTTGAGTTGGATTTTACCCACATGCTAAATCAGCATAATTTGAGAAGCTGCTGATTTAGCAACTCTCGTTCATGCATTTTGACCTTAAAGTTTTTCTGTCTTAATGTTTTGTCAACATCCTTAATCACACCCGCATGGTTAAAAACACGGGGACTCAGGGGCTGGTGTGTGTTGTGGTGTGACAAATATTGAATAAAATGGCTCAAACCTATGATCCCTGGACCCGCCGTGTCTCATTCACACCACATGCCTCTATTTAGGTACACCAGTTCCATTTAAGAGGAACATTCCAACCTAACCTTTACCCTAAATGGGTTACTGGGCGATTTGTTAGATGTTAACGTTAAGTTCTAACTATTTATGATGATGAGGAGGGTATGAATTAGTGTGTTTCTCTGATTTACTCACGTTGCCACTGCCATGTGTGAACACATAGCATTGAGGTTTTGAGGGCACCTTTGCCATCAGGTGAAGCATCCACCAAATATGGCCAGATGGTCATTACATCCCCCGGCCTCTGCCTTGACCTCTATAACCAACCTGTGAGCCTCTGGCATCTGCAGCTGTTTTACGGTTCAGTATAAATACAGGATCAGGACATAAACTGAGGTAAACAATAACTGTGTTTACTTTTAAAAAGTGTAAAAGATCAAAAGGAGGCTTTTGCACATACACAACAGCTAAAATCTCATTGATGTGTACTGACTGCTTTGTTTTTTGGTGCCTTAGGTAATGCCTTTCATGCATTACCTGTATGATAGCAGGAAAAGTTTGGGAGTATCTGCGTTTACCTGCCCTGGATCCTTCTGGACTCATCCCATGGATGACCACAGTTGTCAGGGTGTTGACATGCCAGTGATACAGTATTGAGGCGCAAGTTCATATGACATTTATTATTACTGAGGCTTTTTTTTAATAAATAAATGGCACCGTAACTGCGTCAGTACTTAGCAAACCATCACAAAAGTCACAGCTGCTTTCACGGTTTATCTGATTTGGGATCAGCTTCGACGTGTTCAGTCTGTTTTTACTTTCTCAGATTCCGTCTGAGAAAGCTCGTGGTTGTTTCAGAGGGTCGTACTCCACTCTGCACTCTACTTTTGTTCCAGGCGTTTTTGTTTAGATTGACTTGGACTATGATTAATGACCACAGCCAAGCAATCAGCTGTGTTATAGAGCTGCTATAGCTTTGAACATGAACTATTTGATAACATTTGTTTCTTCTGTATATTTAACTCCCTTGATCCTTGCCCCTAGCTCGTGTCTGCACAGGGAACGGTATGCAATAACTGCATGTACCACTTCTTTCTGCGGGCCTTGTACATGGTGCCAGATAGCAAGAGGGAGCCAAATGAGGAAGAATACCATCACTTTTGTCAACATGTCCCAATATGAATCATTAACAGAGACGTCACTACCATCATTCATGCTATTTGAAAAAAGCAAGGGCCATTTAGATGGATTTCTAATTCTGCTTCAAGCATGACACTTTTAAGAAAAGGATTAAAGATCAGCACATGACAGCCATAAATCATCAACATGGAGTTCAGCAGACACTGGGTTTCTGTTATATACACCTATACAGCCTATGGAGGCATGCTGGTAAACTGATGATGGCTATTTATGTGCACACATTTGCAGTTATTGTTGTATTTTTATGTATTTTTGCTTTGCTTTGTATTTGCTTGATTCTTAGAATTTATTGCATTCTTTAAAAGTATATGGATGCCCTTCAGCTTGTGGTCTCTGCTCAATGTCTTGTTATAACTGAATAACGATTCCAAAATGAAAGTTGGATCAAAATCTGTGATGTTACTTTGACATCAGTTGCAGATGCAGGTCCGACACCTGGATTCTTATTAGACCTTCTAGCAAGAGAAATCCTTGCATTCAAGGATTGCTTTTTATGCCTATTTATCAGTGAGAAAATAAACAAATAAACAAATAAATAAACAAAAAAAATGTAAAAGTGTCTAAAGAAAAAAAATGAAAAGAACAAACATGCACAAACTCAGTGGCTCAGACACAATACTTCAAAGATTTTGATGCTTCACTTGTCTTGCTGAGCTAAATGACTTCATGTTTAAGTGTTAGCATTCCTGAGTTTATGATCTTAACAAAGCTTGGATAACTGCAAAAGTCTAGTGTGTTAAGTTCACCATGCAACAAATGAAATGGAATTTAGATGAGCAAAACAATAATACTTTAGCGTTATTTTATGTGGAGGAGACATTTTTTCATAGCCATGTATTAACCATAGCACCTTAATTACCTAGGAGATAAAAGCCACTGACATCAGGACCAGGAAGCTCCTGACCATGCACGGAGGGTTTCACCCCAAGTCCAGCACTCTGAGCCTGTATGCTAAGCCTCCAGCTGCTTCTCTGTCTGCAAAACCACCCATGAAAGCATTTCTGTCTCCATCTGCTGGATGTGCTGCAGCGTGCTGCGGATGCCAGATGTTGTTCGTCCCATCGCACCCTCTGCATGATTCTACGTATATTCAGACAGATGCCTTGCACCTTTTCTCCCTTGAGACATTTTGTGTCTCTACTTAGGGACACGTGACAGCTGACTAAATCCTCAGGCCACATCCTGCTTTTAATCCTGCTCAATCCTTCCAGTATTTTAGGCTTCTGGGTTTTTATGATATTGAAATATCCAAAACACATTACTGGATGTCTTTGTCTGGATATCTCATCTCAAAAATCCGTTCTGGCTTGCTCAGCATTCTCAAGCTGATGCATATTTGGTTCTACTTTTGGATGTGAAAGTAAAATTTTATCAGCTTTCCTAATCCAGGAATATCATCCTATCTTTTCCATGGTATGAGATATGTAGTGCTGCCCAAACCTGTTAGGAGGTCATTTGTGAGAAGATGGGCGTGCACAATACATGGATTAACATGAATGAAAGTGGTCTAAGGAGATTGCAAAGAAAAGTGTCTGGACTTCTTTAAGTTGCTTGAAGACGTTTCACCTCTCATCTGCTTTTTCTGTTTTAAGGTCAAATGGCAGAGAGTCCCAGATTTAAACCCCGTGGGAGTGACCCCCCAAAGAGGGACAAAAGGACCCCTGATGATCCTCTACCTAATCACATGAGCCAAAGTGTGAAAACAGGTGTGG